TAGTAGGATTAAGTTCGCTGATTGGATTTTGTAACAATTGTCGTATGGCTTCGCGTCGTGGCATCATAGAGTCGACGTTGGACCCTTTGAGCTCGATACATGAAGCAAGTATAATACAAGCCACACATACAATCAGAGTGAATAATAATTTATTCATTTTGATTGTTACTAATAGAATGGTAATGTTTTTCTAAAAGAGAACAATTTATGATTATCTTCGTCTTATAAGAAAGGAAGAAAGTGTTCGCGAATTAAAAATATATTAATGAGGAGACTGGTTGGAAGGTATATACATGAAAAATGAAAATGATTGTGACTTATATATGAATTAGACAAGAAAATGTTTTTCTCCCGCCAAGCACCTTTTCATTTCACGGTTCTGTGGAAAAAACTATTCAAAACAATGAAATGTTAATAGTATGTATTTGTATATATGTAACTGTGTCCTGATTTGAGACAAGTCATCAGAGAACTTACATTCGACGAGTACAAGCTGATCAGTTGTGGAAAAAATGCGAATTTTATTTCGACATTTTAGCCGTTTTTGCTATAAGTTTCAAGTGTTGACAAAAGTTTGTTGTACAGAGGAATTTCAATCCGACGTTAGTTTTCGTTTGTTCTGAATAATATGGTTATATGGCAGAAAAGATTAAGAAGAGTTCGTCTTACTACTTGTTTGTTGAAGTCAATTAGGAAAAATCTATTTAGTGAAAGAACAAGAGAGCACTGGCAAGTGGTTAGAACATGTCAAACCATGCAGAACTGATGACGATTAGTTTTTTTCGATGGAATGTACACAGTGTTCATGCACACTAACTCATATGTATGTATGTTTTCCATGGGAGAATGTGTTGGTGACGGTAAAAACTGTGCACATTCATTAAAAACACCGAAAAATTAGTATAATGTGTTTTTATTTGCAATAGCGTACAAAGAAAATGTCGTCACAATGACAGCCTAGCAAAGCCATCATTTTACAGGGGCTAAAATATTGGCTTCTGCTGGGTAAGCCATGTTCACTCTAAATAAAGTTATATCATACACAAACCTGTGTCTAGAAGAAGAACTTTTAAGGTTACGTATGAACATAGTAAACCTTAAATTTTGTTCTCCACTATACAGACTCAAAAATACACAGTTTATATAGTATTAGATATACCTTGAAAAAATATTACTCATTTAGATTACTGCCTCCTGCACAAAATTATTCATACAATCTTAGACAATTAGAAAAAGGTATAGCGCAAATACGATTACTAATTATTTCTTAAGTCATATGCTTTTTTCGCTTGGATGATTATATTTGAGTAATCTTCATGATATGAGAAGAGATAAGTTAAAGAAAAGACGAAAAAAATCCTGTATTGATGAGTAACCAAATGTCCATTATATAAATCAAATAAAGGTAACCAGAAAGAATGAATGAATATATTACTAATTAGGCTTGCTCAGTTTGACGTAGGGGTGATCAATATCCATTTGGATACTGAAAAGGTAATATAAAGAATGAGGCACAACATTGCTTCTCGCATATTTGATGAGCCTCTTCCCCAGACTTCATCATATAAGATTGGGTGTAGTTGAAAAAGATAGGTCGTTCAATTTTCTACGTAATCCTTTATTTCATTGAATATCTTCATGAAAATTATAACTTTTGATAATGAGCCCTATTCACGAGTTGCTTGTTGGTCACGAGTATGTTTTAAAAAAGTGGTTATTATCAGCTCAATTGTTGTTAAGGGTGGTCTCTTTCTTTCATCTAACTATCTATCTATCTGTTATGGTATTTATGTTAGATGTGCCTTAAAAAAATGTCACATGTATTGTCCGTATATGTTCGTTCTCTTTCTTTCGTTTCATGCATGTATAGTTAACTATGTCTTTTCTTTCGTTCTGTTAGATATTTTTCTTAGTGTGTTCTTTTGCTTTCTTCTTGTATTTTCGTTCTTTTCTTTGATCTAACAACTCTTGTTCGTTTTCTTCAATCTTTGTTGTTATTCTTTTTCTTCTCTCGTAAAAATCAAGAAAACATTTTTCTTGACCTTGAACTGAAATTTATTGCGCAGCTAGTAATGCGTGACTATATGTATATGTATATAGATAGATAGATAGATAGGTTAAGATATTCGAATAGAGAGAGAGAAAGAGAGAGGAGATGGTTGTTTTTTGATTCAACAACAATATAACTGATTAGAAAAACTTAAATAACATCTTAAAAATAATCATACACACATCGATGTAAAATAAGGACATAACACTATCTATCTTTCTTTCTTTCTCAATCGCCTTGCTAGCACGTGTTATCAAGGTAATTGAGAAAGAAACTACCTTGAAGAATAAATAAGCTGGTATGACTACATATTTTTATTCGTGTTTGTGATGGACAAACAAATCTTGAATAAGGCTTATTGATGGAAATGTTTGAAACATTAATCTTAATTATTATAGAGTAGTGGATTTGTAAATGGTTTCACTATAGGTTTCAACTATCTCATAAGTTTGGATTTCATTATTATATATCCCAACGCACTATCTGCGTGAAATCTGTTCAAACGATATCTCTACAGAGATTAGCATTATCTCGAGACAGAAGCCAAGTTTATGAGACAAGTGAAATGTGCTATGAAAAGATTTAAAAAGGCAGCACATGAGAAACTGCGATTGCAGTTTCGAACGTTTTTATGAATCGTTCAAAAGTGATGAACGATATTTTTATTCAATCAAATATAACATTTTTGGAGAGAATTGAATGTCCATCTTTTGAGACTATATTCATTTTTCTATGATGAAGTTTAACCGAGATATTCACAAAATACGAAAAGAAACATTCTTTATGTCATACTCATTGTTAGTGTAGTAGAATGAAGACCAAGGTAAAGCGAAAAAAAAATGAAAGTCTTTGAAATATATATTGAAACAATAGTCATATATATTTGTATGTATGTTTTCAGATTCTTATTATTATTACTTAACTCTCACACAATTAATATGAAATCAATATGTAAGTTCACTTTTTCAGTTGTAATATTTTTCATATTTTGGTTCTTTTTTATAGGCATTTTTGCTTTGTTATTCGTTTATTTGCTTGAATTTCCTGCATTATGTTTTGATATTGTCACGATACCAGATGAAGATCTTCTTTATTTAAATGAACGACTACAAATACACGAACATATGAGTCGTGAAGATGCATTAAATTCAGTTCTTGAATTAGAAAATTATTATACAGGAGTGAAAAATAAATTACGTGGTTCACCATCAGAAATGGTTGATAAAGCGTGGCATGCACATATATTAAATACAAAAATGTATTTTCGTTTCTCTGAAACAGAATTTGGTAGATACCTTCATCATTTACCATTTTGGTCTGGTAATGTAGAAGAGGCAGCTCGGTTTGATGATGATATCCCAATGTTTGGAAAATTAAATGCGTTGGGTATTGAAAATATGAATGAAACTGTCTGGACATATCGGTTCAAAAAAAATGATGAACAATGCTGAATCATAAAAAAAGACGTTGTTTAGACAAATGTATAAAATTTTCATTGTTGCACTTTTCTTTATTATAATATTATTTTATTCTAATAATCAGACAAAAAGAAATTTACTCGAAAAAGCAGAAATAAAAGGGTTCACAATAGATAACTTCAAGTACAACAATCCGGAAGATCAGATGAAACCAAGCAGAGAACACAAATGAATTGTGTGTAATAGACTTTTGTATCACTTGCCAAGTTCCTTGTTATGCACCCTCGATCATCTCTTTCCTATTATCAATCTCTCTCTTTCTTGTTATACTGCTCGTCGCTCTATTTATATATATACATATGTGAGAATACGTTAAATATACAGAGAAGTATATAGTAGAGCAACTGACTTTATTTATCTTTCTTTTCTTCATCCTTCTATAGTTTTGTGTTATCTCACTCGTTTTTTGGAATAAAGATCTTTCCAAGGCCACATATGACTATATATATCTAACTTCGTTCATCTCGATCCAACATCATCATCATCGTTATGAAGACATCTTTATTACTAGACATTTCTAGAAAGAAAACACAATAACCACATAATACATTTCAATAGGTAGATCTGGAGTCAAGTAAGAATGTAGGTGAAAGGATCCATATCACCAGAGCACAATATTAGCTTTGTTCGAGATATAGATCATTGATGATTCAATTTTATGAATCAATGCTAGAATCTTTTGCGTATCGCGAAGATTTTTATTCGACGCTTTTACTTGAGTCTCAAATACTCATAGAATCAATTTTAAGGGCTTGTTACTTTTACCAATTGTATGATGAGTCAAGACAAAAAAAACCAGACGACTTAATATCTTGTCGACGAACTTCTGCGAGTGTTGCTGGCAAAATATTTCAATTTTTCTCGTCACATTTCAAAAGTTTTGTTATATTGTATTTTGGTCTCAATAAACTTTGACAATGATTAAAAATCAGCAAGTTCAGTTCAATCTACTTCCAATTATTGACCTCGATTTCGAAGACTAGAATTTAGACAGTGATATCAACCAAAGGATAAATAGATAAATTCTTCAGAAATGAACTTACTACGAATTCTATGAAACCAATAATTTTTAAAAGATTTTTCATACAGAATTCAAAGCCTTGTATTCTTATACAAGTAAATCGACTAAAAGAACTTTAACATGCTTAGTCCAACATCGAATAAATCACCGATTAAGTGTATTCGATATCAATCGATTTTATATTATCAAAGGAATGCACAACTTTTTTATATGTTGATTTTATTTTATTATGATGTGTACGAGTTCTTCTAATAGAATGTACACCATTTCAAAACTAATATTTGTCATCTAAATGATGTAATTTTCATAATTTATCACTTAGCACGTTGTATTCAAGAAAAACAAAAGTTTTCATTAGAACATGTTTATACTGGATATCAATAGGAAGGAAGCGAACAAAGGGATATAAATCAAAAGACTCAGTATTTAAAAAGAATTATGATGCAATTCGATAGATCTAAAAATGGTCTTTCGCCTCTCTGTTGCAACATTATCATGTAAACATCATCCTGTACATATGGGTAGAACCATTGGCATGATATGTAGAGAGTTTCATCCATGTCATAAACAATCATACATGGTTACCAAACAGTCTTGTTCTCAATTTTTTGGATAATTGCATTTAGGATGCTATTTCCAATCATATGTAACGAAAGAAAGTTTTAAAAGTATGATTATTTAATTGATAAAGAAAGAAAAAAATTCGTTGTGTAGCGAAAAATGATCTTGTTCGTACAGAACTTCATCCAATCTGCAAACGAAGTGTGCATATTTAAAATAAGTTTTTTTTAATCATGGGAAGTCATTATCATTAATTCGTTATGCTGGACAGTACCTTATAATATAAGAATATCAATCAAGACTGTTCATCTCAGATTTAGATAGATAAGGAAAATTTTCGCTTCTACAATACATCTCATAGTGTATTATGTATTTAAGACAGAGTTTGTCCTAATAAAATATATTTTGTTTTCAACGTCGATCTCTTAGAACAGTTTCGTGAAGATTGAAAAAAGACGTTGCAGATAAACTAATAATAGTAATCTTTTTAAGTTCACGATGATTAGAGATTATTCATCAGACAAAGCTATGATTTAGATCAGTTTGCACGAATAGGTGGTTAAATGTCGAAAGGGAAAACGTCGAAAGACAAAATGTAGAAAAACATGACGTAGAAAAGCAGATTGTAGAAAAAAAAAATGTCGAAAGTGAAAATGTCGAAAGAAAAATGGCGAAAATGAAAATGTCGAAAGGTAAAAAATGTCGAAAAGCGTATTGACGAAAAATAAAACGTCGAAAGAAAAAATGGCGAAAAGGGAAAAATGAAATAAAGAGACGTCCATGACGTCTTCAAATAAATTTCTATCAACTGACGATGCATTGTCTCGCTAAGAGAATCTAACGATATTGATTAATTATTGAGTTGTATATATATATAGCAGCTCGCGTTCATTTCTACAGACATTTATCAAGTTGTTTTCTATATTTTTTACTTATGTCAACATGAGTAATACACCTATCATAACTTTTTCACAAAGTAACAAAGGCAAACGTGTGGTTATTTGTGATGGATTTATATATCAGTTAAACAAGTCATGTCCCAAGGTCAAATATATATCCTAATATTTGGCATTTTATTGATGTACTCAAGAAAGAAGAAGTTCATTTTCAACAGCAACTTCTTCATGCTAAAAGCGGTTTGCTCAAGAAAAAGTCAAAAAGAACTTGCATCATCCAAGAACGTCTTGATGTTTTATGCAGACATTTTTCAAATAATGAAATTGATTTGAATGAATACCTCGAAGGTTTGTCACTGATCGTCCCAAAAGATATGAACAAAAAAAAATGAATTGAAAATAGCTTTTTCAATATTATATTCAACTGCCGAGTTCTGTTTCTTAATTTATTCATTGTCTCTTTTTCTTCTCTTGAAATAGTTATCCTTATTGTCAAATTTTGTTATCTTAATCTATTCATATAATGTTTCTTCATCTCTATTTTTTTGGAATAGTTTTTGACTTGTGCTTTATTTGCTAAAATTCTTGTCAATAAAAGAGATGACTAAATATATGCTATTAGTGTTTTCGACATTTTCACTTTCGACATTTTCGCTTTCGACATTTTGTTTTTCTACATTCACAACTTTCGACATTTTTTTGTTCGACATCCTGCTTTTCGACATTTTTACTTTCGGCATTTTTTTTTCTACATTTTGTCTTTCGACATTTTCCCTTCGACATTTAACCACTTTACCGTTTGCACTTGAAATTCGTCAATTGTATGGATGTTGTTCAGTGAAAGATGCAATAGATCATGCTCTGTCTTTAAGATCTTCTCGATTTTCACAAGTTTATTCATATTATTTTTCAACTGTTCTGAGAAATCGAGAGTGATTACTCGAAGAAAAAAAAAAGTAAAGTGCAGTACGGACATAGATACAGAAATGAAAGCTTTCCTTATGTAACAAAATCGAAAATGAACCACATACCCACATCTTCGAGCCTTTATTTTCTATTATGTTGACCTTCACCTGTTCATCTAGCACCAATACAAAAACTGTATAATGTTCAGTATCAAGAATCTCATTTAGCATCATCATTATCAAATAATAAGTAGTTATTCATGTCCGAAAAATAGAGAGTAGTAAGTCTTCTCCACTCGAACTACATATGTCCAAAAATATTTCTTCATATGAAAGAATAATCTATCGACAACATACAGTTCTAACTATATTAAAATGCCATCCTTTACAAACACTAACAAAGTTTTAACTCATCATTATCTATTAATCGGTAATAATGTCGATTTGAAAAATCAGCTCTATATATTTTTATAAAAATTTTTCTCAATTATCGATTTCTCTTCATTATCCTCGAAAGTTTTTCATCAATGAAATGAAAAATAAAGCAAACTATTGATCGTTCAATATCACCTATTGTTATACGACATACACAAACATACGTAAGTAAAACAATTGATGAAATAAGACAATTATTTTCAACATGTTTAATGGATCTAATTATCATGGTATACATTATTTTGGTTTTAATTCAATATTTTATACCACAACAATTTATGACACATGTTGATGATGAATAAATGACAAATAATTATAAAATCATAAGATATAAAAATCTATACAATTAATTTACGTCAGAAAAATGACCCGACGAATTTAAAGTTCGGCTGTAAGTTAGAAATATTAATTTGATCAATTGATTGTTTTTTTTTATTCTTAAGATAGAATGATTATGTGTACAAATTTAACTAGATTTTGTTCATATATTTCATTACAAAAAAAAGGTTAAAAGAAAATAAAGATAATTATTAGATATGGTGTATCCTTCAATGACAGTTTTACTATTATTTTATCATTGTCTATCAAAAGAATCCGATTTTCTCTTAGGATAGATAATTTTATACTTTTGTAGGACTCATATTGTTTTTTTCGAAGAAAAATATAGTGAGCATAAGTTTTCAGTCGAGCTTTTTGTGACTCTCCCATTTTCTCATAGCAAGAAGGGTGAGAATGACCTAGATTCATTTTCATAGCAATTGACAACAACAGACGTCAGACTCCATTCCTAGAGTTGCTTAGCAACAAAAAAAGACGTTAAATGACATTAACAACAAAGCTTAGACTGCTCTAACATATTTCAAAACCTTCGAAGTACCGAAATAAATACGACAAAATTATTTTTCTAATAATTGATTATCCTTTAATGGCAATTATCATTTGTTAGCAATTCTCTAGTTGATGTTTTTTTTCTTACTATTTAAATTGATATTAATTTCATTCTTTCTATTTGCTCTCCATCATCATCCATGGGTCCTATAAGTACTGTAATGGTAAAACGAGATTTCATTACTATTATTTAGAGACCATGTAAAGATGATAATGGAAGTGAACTTATTGGTTATTTTGTTGAAAAATGTGATACTTCAAGATATGTTTGGCAATGTATTGAATATAATGATCCACACATATTTACACATACAGATGTTGGTTTCACTGAAGTTGTTGTACATCATTTTTATGTATATGCAGAGAATTGTGTTGAAATACTACCAACATTAACAACATTTGATCCAATTATTGAAAAAAGTTCATATACACATCCAGATATACCAGAGGGATCATTATTAACAAAATTCTTTCATCAAATTCAATTGAATATTAATGACAATCGCCATTATTAACTGATGATAATAGTATAACATTAACAGATTAACTTACTTAAAGAGAGTGTGGGTATGGATCCTTTTTTTACCCACACCCTCATTAGAGCTGAACACGTCAAGTCCTTCTTAGTTTACTGACTTGTGAAAAATCTTCAATGGTTCAGACTTGACTTGACTTGACTTGAGAGGCCAAGATCTGGGAGCATAACTTTAGTTGGCTTTACTTGGATTTGTATTTTTTTATCATATTGTCTTGACTTGAAAATGTTTTCACGTCAAGTCAAATCTATTAAATATTTTTCCTTTCTTTTACGCATTTTGTATCAAGAAACAGGTTTCCGGGGCCAATAAAAAATGTTCTAAATCCAAAAGATACTGATAGGTTATATGTTCTATCAAGTTTTAGCTTGACTTCATCTGATATAAAAGAAAATTTAGAATGACAAGTTCATCTGACTTCAATTGGTAAAAAGCTTTTTAAGATATAACTTCACTTTACTGTAACATGAAAAACTTCTCACTCGTTCAGGTCTGGACAATATACTAGATGAGTAAATGTTCCACTAGATATTAAATCTTCCATGGATTTCCTAAAAATACGTTTAAGTCTGGTTATAGAAGATTCTGAAGATATTTGAGATATTTGAGACATAGAAATATCGACAATGCTGAAGGTATGGAGATACAGGGATATACATCTTTCTATCCTTGTATCTTTAGCAAATCCGAATCTACATATATCGACACTGTATTCGGAAAATCAATCTCATGAAATATGAAAGCAAACGTAATATTCAATATATAATAGATATTGGAGGCTGAGAGTGCTACAGAAAAAACACACACATACACACATGGGACATCACATCAGTCAAGAGTGTAACGGAATCCAATGCAGCAACTTTCTCTACTTCAATTGATATACAACGCTTATCAGACATTTAAGACATAATTTTTTCTACAGTAATGTCCCCAATATCGCTTATATCTCTTACATCTCGAATTTCTATATATCGCCTACACCTGGATTTAAATGAGCTTTGACAAATCCATAAAATACACTAAACCTTCCAAACCCAGAAAAATAGGAAGAATCACTATGTTGTTTTCATATGAAGCTGCTATTGTTACAATTATACATTATACATATTACTCTATAGATACTTAGAATATCCATGTAAAAAAGTCCTCTCCTGTATCTCGTACAAGTTATGACGCTCATTACCCTGAGCTTCTCAGAAACATGGGGGTAAAGCCTCATATACATTATATGATTACAAAGTTATCCCTATTACCCCCAAAACTTCCTAGCAAAGTGAGGTATAGTTCATGTTTGAGATAGCTTTGCCAAAGAATATATTTTAATACTATAAAAAAGAGATGTTCAAAATTTTTTTGTCAAAAGAGAATGCTAATACTCTAAACACTGAAATCCCGTATAACTTCAAGAAAGTTTATTGTAACACGCTCTTTCTATCTAGTGTATCACAAGAATAAATTACTTTCGCTTCTAACGGTTAGTCCTTGAGTCTTTGTCGAGGTCAATGAACACTTCCTAGAAGCCTTGTGATATTTCATAATTAAGTTGTGAGTGTGTTGAACGCAGCGACTCCGTTCCCAATATTCGGATGAAAAAAAGAGGCTCTTTGCAAACTTTCAACACTCCATAGTTTGGCAGCCTTTTAACTACTGTATGTCGTCTATATGGAAAGTTGGAGGATGAAGTCAAGAAAATCGCTCGCATATGCGGGAAAGATTGTATAACTGAAGCGCTGATAGTCACATTGATCTGTCATTTTATAATTCTTTGTTCAAGGAAAAGAAGAAAAAAGATAGAAAATCAAACATAACGCGAATTCGAAGCAACTTCAAT